ACATATAGACATCCAGTACAAGAAGAGAAGACTAGAAAGGCGTAGTTGAACTGTACTGAAAAGAAACAAACTGCCAGGCATGGTGGCACACACCTGTGCACCCATCCTTCTGGGAGGCTGAGTCAGAAGAGTGACAATTTCAAGCTCCATTTAGTGACTTCGTGCGATCATTTCTCAAAAAGAGGGGAATGTAGCTGAGTGCAAAGGCCCTTGGTTCAATCCTCAATACTGATAAAGTAAAAAGAACAAGGAGGAGGAGAAGGAAGAGAAAGAGGAAGAGGAGCAGTGGGCCAACACGTCAGTTAACTCGGAAGGAACAGAAATGTCACACAATACACACACTGGGCTCTCGTGGCAGAAACTAGAAAGAGTGGCCAGTGTTTGGCTTCTGTGGGCTCATGGGAGCAAAGGCTCCATAGGATACGACTTAGCCTTCTGCTCACTCAGAATTGTCTTACAAATTGCTGACAACTTCCACCGACTGCTCTAAGCTTGTAGGGCATTGAGGTCAAAAGGAAAAGGGGGGCCTTGATACAGTTTTACTGCCAGAGAAAGCCATGCAAGCTTGGTGACTAGACACAAGTGAAGAATCCAGGAACACAACTGCACAAAAGCCCTTCACCTTCATGGGCAGTCTTATTTATACTCTGAGGTAGAGGAGACCCTGGTTATGGAGAAGATGAGGAAATTGATGAGGAAAGAGAGAGAGAAACATAAAACATTCTCCTCCAAGTCAATATTTCAAACCCACTTAAAGAAATCTAAAGATGGGTGAGAGTGTTGTGGAAAACGCTGTGGACAGATTTACTTAATGTCCACCTCAACTTCTGTTGAGCCGCAAAAAGAAATACAGTATAACCTTGGCTCATCAACTCCATTCTCTCCGTGACTCTGGTCACAAGCTGAGGTGGATGAGAACCAAATCAGATTCAATGGCCAGGGTCAATGTGGATCATACAGGGACATTTGACTCAGTTCTTGTCTAGTTCAGTTTGTGGCCAGAATCCTGGAGAGAACTGAGTTCACCAACTGAAATACCAAGGTACTCACTACCCCAGCTTCCCTTGCAGCTATGGAAGGCCATGCGCCATGATCCTGACAATGAAGTTCCTGGGGAAGATATTTTTTTCCTGAAAAAATAGAAGAGACAAAGTTTCATTAACAAAAGTCCTCTTGACTTTCATCCATGAAACAATAACAGCTGGATATGAAAAGTTAAAAAACAGGTAAAAAACAAGGATCAAGTTAAAATTTTTAAAATTATCAGAATGAAATATCCAATAAGTGGAAAAAACTATTTTGAGCACAGTTAAAAAGAAAAAATAGCAAATAAGAAGATAGCATAAAGAATTTCCACACAACACTGCAAAGCAACAGGGAGATTTGGGCTTTCTCATTCTGTGCAATTTAAGAGGCGGGTGTTGGGGCAGAGATGGAGAAGACCCAACAAACTTCCACAGGGAATTTTTGAATACAAATATGGAACAATCGCAGAAAAGTATTATTTAAAAGGTAAGAGCTGACACTTTCCAGGACTGAAAAAAAAAAAAAAAAAAAAAAAAAAAAAAAAAAAAAAAAAAAAAAAGGAATCCCAGCTCAAAAGTGTACATGGATACTAAGATAAGTATTTTTAGAAAAGTCAAACAAACAGATTAAAAAGTAGAAAATAAAAGATTAGACAAAGTTATGTTTAAAAAGAATAATGGTATTTGAAAAGCAACTAAATGGAACGTTTTCTGCCCCTCTTTTAGTGGGACGTTTATTATAATCTGCATGGATACATCTTTACCACCCCAGTCCCCCAGCTGACGTTAGGCTATGTTCTCGGGGTTATACAGTCTATGATTTTTGATAAATGTATAATATCATACGTCCACCATTTTATTATCATAAAAAGCAGTTTGCCCCCAAAAGTTCTTTGTGTTGGCTTATTAATTCCCTCTTCTCACCAATCCCTGATCCTTCTCCTGTCTTCATGATTTTCCCTTTTCCAGAATATCATAAATATTAGTTGGAATCATATGGTACTTGGTCTTCTCAGGCTGACTTCTTTCACTTCATAATGTGCACTGAAGATTCCTTCATGTCTTCTCTTGGCTTGGCAGCTCATTTCTTTTCAGGGCTGAGCAGTAGCCCACGTTGGGATAAACCACCATCAATCTTTTTGCCTCCTCAAGGTCATCTTGGTTGCTTCAAAGTTTGGACAATTACAAATAAAGCTGATAGAATATTCATGTGTGAGGTTTTTGTGTGGACATAAGTTTTGCACCTTATTTGGGTAAATACAAAGGAACACGATCATTTACGCATCATATAGTAAAAGCATGTTTAATTTTGTTAAAAAAAAAAAAACCTGCCTCCTCACTGGCCTTGTCCAGATTCGATGTTCTCAGTTTTGGTCATTTTGATGCAGAGATGGCTCATTGCTGTTGTAATTTGCATTCCCTTAATGCCACGCAGTGTTAAACACCCTTCAGGTGCTCACCTACTGTCTGTACACCTCTCATTTGGTGAGATATCTTTTCAGGTATATTGTCCAGTTTAAAACTGGGGTTTGTGTTTTCTTATGGTTCAGCTTTAAGGGTTCTATGTATATTTTGCATAATAGTCCTCCATCTGATAAGACTTTTACAGATGTTTTCTCTCATTCTGCAGCTTGTCTTCTTAGTCTCTCGAAAGACAGAAATTCCTTAAATAGAAAATGTCACCGAAATTCGACACACAGAGAGAGATGCATCGATTCTTAACCCATATTAATGACACAGAAGACTGTTAACGTATTGAAAGACAGGTCTGATCAAATAACAAGAGCTGGACAACATGTAAACACTATTAAAATGCAACAGAGGGTGAGCAGCTCGAAGAAATCTTTTAACAAGAACTCAGTTAGGAGAGAATCAGGGAAAGGGGTAAGAAGCAACCATCAAAATAATAATAGATAAGCCAGGCATGGTGGTGCACGCCTATAATCCCAGCACTCAGGAGGCTGAGGCAGGAGGATTGCTGAGTTCTAGACCAGCCTGGGCTACACAGTGAGTTCCAGGTCAGTCTCAACTACATAGTGAGACCCTGTCTCAAAAAACAAAACCAAGATAATAATAATAATAATAGTGACTAAACATGTAGCAGAGACATAAAGCAAAATACCCACCTTACCATATCATGGGCACTTTTAGACTATTAAAGACAAAGAAAATATATTAAAAGATAAAAATACTTGATAGATGTTCTATAGATGAATGAGTTCCACCGGGCCTATTGTACACTTCCCGTCTGCACTGAAGTTTGTCAGAAGACAGCACAATCATGTCTTGGGGGAAGACAGAAGTTATCTGGGAGTTTGAAATACTATAGTTAGCTACACTGTCAGTCAAGAGACACTTTTATGAGCAAAAACAGAAGTTTACTATTCACACACCTTAGCCAACTTACTATAGCCTTGTTACTAAGGAGCAGTAAGAAACAATGGTAAAGAAAGACAAATATTGAATGCAAAACAAATAACACATTGTTAAGCTGGGGGGATGGGAATGGACCAGCAATATTAAAAGTAACGGAACTATTTTCCAAGTGAAGAGCAAATTTTCTAGCATTGATCATTAAATAAAATATATTCCTGATAGAAAAGTCACCTTCACTGTATACTAAATTCCTATATAAATAATTTATTTTGGACTTCCCACCATTTTGCAGTGCTCTATTAGCGTTTTGCCAAACAAGTATAGTATCATTTTGGTATTGCAGCTCTATCCTTCAAAACTAGGTTTGAAGAATGTCACTCTTTTTCTATTTTTATCCAGATTTCCCTGGTTTCTTTTCTTTTTCATGCTCTCACTCAAGCTTCAACGCATTCTCTGACGAAGCCAGATAAAAATCATCCTGGGTTCTGAAGGCACAGTTACTTTGCCTCGAACTACTCAGCTCCGCCGGCCAGGGCAGCACGCGAGAGGAGCCAGAAACGCTGCGCAGTGATTGGGCGGGACTGGGCCGAGGGGGGTGGTTTGTTAGTCCCCGCTCTACCCTACACTGTTTCTTACTTCCTTTCTGTTACTTACTTTCTTACTTCAGTACCGAACCGACTGTTCCCCGTTCCTACGTCCTGCCTGCAGGTTTAGTACCTGCATAACCTAGGTGTCCATTCCCTGCCATCCATGTATCTCACCCCCGTTAAGGCCCTCAGACGAACTGAGACCCGTGTGGGGAACTCGCCCTAACTGACAGCGGGGACGATCCCTCCCTCACCTGGACGACTCCGAGGCGTGAGACAGTGTTTCGCACAGAGTAGAGGCTCCGTGAAGTGAAAAGAAGGTGGAGAGAGAGAGGAATCTGGAATATGTTCTAACTGTTCTGTGGGACTCCTTGCTCAGATTGAAAAACTAAATCAACAACAAGAGGGAGAGGAAAAACAAATTAAAAGACCATTCTAATCCAGAGAAATAATGGCTGGTTTGGAACTAACGCAAGCGCTGGGTGGGGAGCGTTGGACTGGCAAGTAGAGGTCAGGTTTAAGCAGAGATCTCAGGGGTGATCAGGAATTCACCAGCGCAAAGGAGAAGGCAGAAAAAAGAAGGCTCCAGAAAAGGGAAAAGAAGAGAGAAAGGAGACTTAAGGGCTCAGGGGTGGAAAGGGGTGTAAATGCAATAGTTCAGCGTGGCGAGAGCAGGGCCGACGGCGGGGAGGAAGGAGAAAACAAGGGGCGGATGGGATCATGAGCTGCAGTGAGGCGCATGCAAGAGCGCCCTGTCACCGAAGGCTGGGCCACAGGCACACTCCAGGTCTAACAGGTTTCCCAGCCTGGAAAAACAGTGAAGGAAGCCAAGGCCACAGATGTACCTAAGCAAAGAAAGATCCTAGAGTCTTGGGCAAACTGCGATCAGCACGAAGCAGGGGATCGGGAAGGGGCACTGGTGTATGAGCCCAGAGAAAGAAGAGCCGGCTGTCCAGTGGAGAACATCTGCTCGCGACTGCAACGGGAACAAAGGAAGGAGGGACACACTTACGCCCAGGAGCTCGCCTGCCAAGCTGTTGTCAGTGTGGGATTCTCTGCTTCCTGTTCCTACGCTCCTGATCCAACACACAGCAGCGACACAATGTGCTCTCTGGGGCAGAGGAGAGGCTTCAGCCACGGAGGGCCAAGGGAGCAAACGGGAACATCTGCTCTGTGAAGCCGCTTGCAAAGTAATCTAATCGTTCAGGGAGAACATCTGGGCTGCACAGTCCAGACCACCAGTGGCGGAGAAGGACTGGGGGATTGAGGGAGGAGGCCGAGCAGATGCAGGGTGCGCTGTGACCCACAGAGGAGCGACACGGACTCGGGGAGGCTGCACGGCCCCTTCGGAGAGATGAGTCACCCGGGGACCCTGTCGCACAAAGACCAGAGGCTCACTGAGAAGTCTCGTTTGGGTCACACGATGCGGGAAGCCATCCCAACTCTGCAGGGCCCTGAATACCACACGGTGAACAGCCACCAGGAGGAGGGAAGATGGAAAGGAAGGAAGAAGGGAGAGAAAGTGAGGACCCACAGTGTTTTCAGATGAACAAACAGAACTCCTTGAGCCTGGGATGGTTCTCATCCCTTGTCCTTCACCTGCAGTCAGCCCATTAATGTGGGAAATCCAACTGGACTCAGGCAGATCAGAACATCATAGGTTTTCACTGATCTCTAACAAATATCTGCACTTATAGTTTGTTTTTTTTTTCTCCCAAGACTTTGCAAGTCTCTGAAACCAATCAGAAAGAAATATCTTTTAGTGACTAAGCGTTGTATGGAGTTTTTCACTTCTCAAATGTCAAGGAGTTAAAGAGAATGACACAGGTAAACAAAATTCCCTTTGAAGGTCATATCGATTATAAGTACAGCCTCGGCTAGGCTAGATTTCCTGATCTGAATTCTGAGTTTCTTTCTACAAGCCTAACATTTTAGGGAACAGGTATGGAGACGTTGCATGTCTGTGTTCTAGGACAAAGTGCTGCTTGCTTCAAACCATGTAGCTATTCAGTGTTGAGAAAAGAGAGGGCAGTGGGGAGGAGAAGGGAGAAACAATTCTTCTTGGGACAGGAACCTGGATAAAGTGGGGACAAGGCTAAGAGCTTTAGCCCATACACACTTTTGTGCCATAGGACATTTCCATATGCTCGAACCCTGGTGCAGTTACAGAAGGTACTGGCCGCAAAAGAAAATTCTGGGGCCTAAAAGCTGCTTGGTAAAGTGCAATCAGTAAGTGCAGATGCTTGTGAGGGTCCTGGTATCTACATAACAACCTTCTAACTTTATGGAAGAGGAAACTGAAGCTCCAGGAAGTCTCACCTCTAGTAGAATGAAAGTGAAAGCTGTAAGGGTTATCCAACCTTCTATGTCACAGAGGTTTTCTGAGCCTTGGGTGGCATTAGTCAAGGTGTTTCAGAAAGGAAGAAGAAGTCGAATATAGAAATGGATAGATAAAGAGATACAGGAGAGGAGATTTACTGGAAAATTGGCTCAAATGATTGTGGAAGCTCAGAAGTCCCACGACAGGATGTCTACAAGTGGAGACTCTGGGACACTGGCAGCCTGGCTCAGTCCAAGTCCATGAAAATTCAGGGACCCGTGACTGTCAGCCCTGGAGTCCAGAAACTGGAGAGCCTGGAGCCCTTGTGTCCCAGGGCAGGAGAAGACGTGCACTTCAGCTCCAGGAGCAAGACCAGTGCAAGGTGTTTGAGCTCTGTCTGAAGGGTGGGACCCAGAGGGGTGAGACCCTCACCCACACCAAGGGCTGATTTTCCTCAGGGACCCTGCAGAGACTCACAGGCCAATCTCCTCTGGAACAGAGGATATGCCCCAAAATTTCAATTGTGCAGCTATTCCTTAGCCCAGTCAAATGCACACCTAAAATTAGCCACAGCAAGGGTCTGTGACTAGGGTCATCCCAGAGGAGTTCATGGGGTGCAGTTCATTGTGACAGACAGGTGGGCCCATGTCACACCTTACCATGCTACTCTTATTTTTCTACCCAATGTTTTGTACTGGGCAGGTCAGGTTAAAATGAGCCAACAAAGGCAGCAGAAGGAAACAAGTCCCCAAAGGAGACAGTCTGGCACGTGTCTGTAATTGATCAGCCATCGCTCTGTTCATTACAGCTGGTGGCACAGCCTGGGCATGGAGGTATGCATAACCAGAACCATCACTTGGCAGGGACGGAGTAGAGAAGAGGCCCACCTCCAAGGGCTGGGGGAGCTCAGCACCATCTGCAGAAACAGCATCCTGAAGGAACAGGGCAGACAGCAGGTGGTGAGTCAGTAAAGCATCAGGCATGGGAAACATTCAAGCCACAGCACAACATGTCCTGACCCCGGGAAGGGCCATATTGAAAGAGGATGTTGGGAACATGCTGAATTCATACTTGAACTTGCTTGGCTAAAGAATGGGACCTCTGCCTAGGCATGCACAGCTTCAAAGGAGGTCCATTTGGAGCCGCAGGGAGAAGAATTAGCAGAACACAAGAGCAGGCTGTGCCAGGAAAGCCGGGCCAAGAGGGAGAGGCAGCTGGCACCCTGGAGAGCAGAGGCGACCAGAGATGAGGATTCAAGGTCTTGGGAGACAGTGGGCAAAACAGTGAGAGCCCTGCAGTAGTGGGGAGACTAGCAATGGAGAGATTCACACAGAGACAAGATCAGCATTTGCTTCCCAAGGGGAGGAGAGCATAAGCAGACCGTCTTGACTGCTTTACCTGAATTTAACTCATTCCAAAACACCTGTTATTCAACAAATCTTCAGAGGATGGGAGTCTGCAGTCATTTACTTTAAAAGAGAATCGTTATAATAATATATTCATAGTCCTTTCTTAAAACCCAGTTACCAGATAAATCACTAAACAGTCCTGTGGCAGTCCAGCACACGTAAGGCAAACCAACAGAACACTAATCATTTTTCTATTTTCTCATGCATAAAGAGAAACTAAGCACATGGTAGATAAAGGACAAAATGATGGTAAGCATATGTTTTAGGCAGTCATCTCTTCTCAATGCTTTTACGCGTTCCAACCTTTCTGCCAATGAATGGACTGTCCAAAGCCTCTCCAGCTCACCAACCTCTCCTCGGGCTTTTCCACTTTCTCAGAAGAAATCATCACCTCATCTGGGGGAACAACTGAAAATGCATAACGAGTTTGCATAATGAGATGCCGCTGTGCTAGAAAAGAGCTGAGGTACAACCAGAGCCCGCTGGCCTGCACTCTCATCTGTCACCACGTCCAATCGAAGTAATTTTCCTGGCAGATGCACACTGATGTGTTTTTGCATTTTGTTTCTGGATAATTTTGAGTCATGAGAGTTCAGGTAGCGAAAGATTCCTGGAGGAGACACAGTCCCCAAGACAAGAGTGGTAGGTAAAACTGACTTACAATTTTTGGGTCTTTATCTGGGCCAACCACATTGAGAACGAAAGATCCTACCATCATGCTTCAGGTAGAGTCGGGTCCATTTATAAAGCACAGTAGTTTTATTTCAAGGCCAAAGTGAGTTTTTTCCCCAGCCAAATGGGATGATAGCATCCAAGAGGCAACCTCCAAACATTCAAACTTCAGTGGGCTGAGTAATCGCAGAGTTTCATCTTGAAGCAGACACTTGATTGCCTCCATTTTACAGGTGGGAGAATAGACGTCTGAGGTAAATATCAGAGCCTGCCTGAGAAGACTTCTCACTGTCCACCTTCCAAGGGGCTGGGGGAGCACAAGATGGGACAGGGCAGCAACCCTGGGAGGAAGGGGTTGCTGCTGCCCTTGGTGGAGAAGGGATGTGAGTGTCCCAGGTGACTTGTTCCTGCTGCTGTGGGAACCACCTCCCCCTTCTACTTATCACCTCCCTTCCTCCTTCCTCCCACAGTGGGTTTTTCTGTGTCAATTGTGCCACTTTAATTTTATTCCTTTTCTCCCCTTTTCACAGAGAAATAAAGGTCTAGAGAGATAAGTAAATAAATAAATAAATAAATGTCAGAGCCTGGATTTGAAATAAGATCTGTCAAGATCCAGATGAGGCACTGGGTGTCAAACCCCCTGAAACAGTGTAACTCTAACTTCCGTGAGTCAAAGCATTTGGTGGCTATGGGTGAGTTTACTTGAACTTGAATGATGGAAAGCATCCACTGAGCCAGGGATTAGTCGATTTTGCTGTAAAAAGCCAAATAATAAAGAGGATCAACTATGGACTACATACTCTCTGATGTGACTGCTTTTTATCTTTACAATCTGAAAGCAACCATACACAGACAACAGGTACAGCTGAGATCCAGTGGAATCATAGTCACAAAAGCAGGTAGAAAATTGAACTTGAATTCGACATTTGGGCCATAGTTTGCTGACTTCTCTTTTCGGCAAAAAAAAAAAAATCTCTCAAATACCTATGAACTTGTTTCAGGATTCTTAGAATTTATTGACTAGCACTTTAAAAATTTGGACTTAAACGCATTTTTTCAAAGTCATTCTTGAATTAAGAAAACAGTTGCTGATTATTTAATGCTACAAACTTCCCTGTCCAGATTGCTTTAGCTGCATAGCACAGATTTTGAAATACTGTATTTTTATTGACCTTCAATTCAAAAACGTTCTTCAGTTTCTTTTGTCTTCCATGTAACCAGTAGACATTTAGAAATGTGTTGTTTAATTTCCAAATATTTATAAAATTTCCTGATATTCATGTTGTGGAGTTCCCTTTTAATTATTTTATGGCCAGAAAACATGAACTATACCTTTAAGTACTTTTAAATTTTATTAAATTGGTGTTCCCTGTACCTCACCATGGTCTAGAAGAGGGTTCTAGTTCGATGACTGTTCTGTGTATAGCTTGAAAGAATGTTTTTTGTTTCTGCCTGGCAGATTGTTCTATAAATGTCAATCAAATAAAATTGGCTGATAAACTATGTTTTTGCTAATTTTCTTCCCAATTCCTCAGTAATACTGAGAAAGGAAACATTGAAGTTTCCCATATTTGTGCATTTGCCTGTTTCTCCCTTTATTGTGCTAGCAGTTTTTGCTTAATGTCTTGAATTTCTATTTTCAGATACAGATGCATTTGGAATTAAATTTTTTCATTATATAATTTTATAGAGGTAATTTTCTTGTACTAATTTATTGCAATAAGTGGCTCTTTAAAATTTTTGGTCAGTAGTCAAATTTTATGTTGGAAAAAAGAGT